TGTCTCTAACACTCACCGCTGTTAAATTGGACCGCTATTCTCTCCTTCCTCTTAGCCTAGTTTCTTAGAGCAGAAATAGAACCAAGGGGGGGGCGGAGATCCACAAATCTCGGTTGGGGATTTGATATTAAATCCGTCCTCTTCGTGCCGACGGAAGTTCTGCGTGTGCATATCTGAGTGTGGCCATGTGTGTGTGTTATGGTGTATTTTTGAGCGTACGGTGGTCCCAGAGGAGTAATGCTGGCACTGTGCGTCACTGCACGAAAGCTGGCCTTGCAAAAACAGCATGCTGAATCCTCATTTAATGGATACAGCATCACGCCATCATGTTTTTATGACGTAAGGTAATTTAAGCTCCGAAAGTCTTAAAGATCCACCATACGTCATGTTTTATTTCTGTTTTTGTTTGCAGACATGATAAAAGACAATACATATGTTTCTCCGGAGCTACATTGATATAAATTGATTCACAAAACGCCTTCGTGAGCCGTCCACTGGTATAGCCTTATTTTGGAAAGGAGTGAAAGAAAAGTACTATTCATATTGAAGAATGATCATTCTCCATTCACTGCTCTAAAAGCAGCGTTTGTTGCATGTAAACCAATTTGAGTGCTCTTCTTAAAAGCTACTCTGAAAAAAGTGGTCATAAAGGCGGACTTTATGAGAGGGTGGAATAAGTGTCAGCTACATGCTGAATCCCGACTCTGTGTCAACTCTCTGTGTTGAGTTTCACGAAGCAACTGTCTGCAGCCATATAGCGTGTACAGTTCAGCATCACATTCAATTCTGGAAAGGTCAAAGAATAAAACAACTTGAGTGATTCTGTAAGCCAATAGTCTTACAGGAAAGCTGTGTAATCATATTCAGAATTATAAAGAAATGCCTTTCCGTCAGTGTTCATTATGTTTTCTTTAAGGTACACTGAGGGAGTGACCGTGTGTCAGAGGGAGTTGCCCGCTGTGACTATGCTCTGTGTCTGAGTGCTGTTACCATAAATGAAGATGGAAGTGGCTGGTGTTATTGTTGTGTGCTGTCAGGTAGATCCACATTCCTGCCGTGTTTCTTCATTCTGCGTCACGCTCAGGTGCACGCAGCCCCCACCGAGGCTCGAGACTTGAGAAACCCATTAACTTTGTTCAATTAACCCGTGTGCATCACTTTAGAACAGCCGTCTGGTAGGAGACTGACCGGTCTGTGATCAAAAACTGCCATGACAGAAAAAGGTCGATAGAGTCGGTTAAGGAACATGAGTCCTACATTTCATATAACGACGAAAATACATTCATTTTTAGAATTCCAACACTTTAAAACAATGCCTCTTTATGAAAACATATATATTCATGTGTAAACGAAATTATAGCAGGATGTTTTTCAGAGTTAAAGATTAATTTGATGCCTTTACATTTTGTTACATTAAACCTTGAAAATAGCAGTGATTTGTCCGCATTGGGCAAACATGTAGAAATTGCTCAATCTGGTAGAAAAAAAAGCACTTTAATTGAAAGCCTGGTAAAATATAAGGTGTTATTTTATGCCGTGATGACTGTAAGAAATAAATAGTGAGTCACAATTGTTAAATGGATCTGTCACGTTATATTTGCAATGTCATGTCAACCACAGTAACATGTCACTTTAATTTGTTCTAGAGTGTTGCTATGGTGCTATTTTTTATATGTCTAGGGCTATAGTAACCTGTGTAATTCAGGAACATGTGAGCAGATGCTGCATTGTGGGCTGCAACTGCAATGAGGATGTCAAAGCAAAAAAAAGGCAGTTTGGAGATTTGGAACGCTGAGCTTCTTTGTGGTCTCTTGACCTTTATCTTGCACAGCATTGCCATGGCAACTAAACAGGGCGCTGCCAGTCTAGGCCAGAGGTTGTGGTCCCTCATCGTCCGATACATCACTGAATCTCTGTCTCTTAATAAGTCACTATACAGTTACTGGCTGACTAAAAAGAAGAAAACAAAAGAAGAGACACCTTTGATTGCCAAGCATTAAAAGGCCTCATTGAGAGCAGAGATGATAGTTGGGATAGGCTGCTACACAAACACAGAGCTGCTGGCTCTCTGTAATCCCTTACAGATTAGCGCACTTCATTACACAGCTCATTGCACTTGAATCGAGTACAATAACACTGTTGCTACGATCTGATATCCAACACTTATTTCAAAGGGTACACACATTTGGTTGCTTGAATAGATCATGTATATCATAATAACCTCTAATATGAACGTATCATTTGTTTACTTTTGAATAAATCCTATCTTGTCAGAGTAATGCGTCAAACAGTGGCTTAAGTTTATCTACTCAGTTCCTACATAAGAAAATACAAAATGTTGCCAACTCTACCTTAATTAATTGTCTGGAGATTGTGTTAAGTGTAGACGGGTGTGGCTCAGACAAATGCCCACTCTGTCCAGGAGGGACGCTCCACCATCTGGTGCTGGAATCCCCCTCCCAGCAGGCTAATTGTGTGTGTGTGTGTGTGTGTGTGTGTGTGTGTGTGTGTGTGTGTGTGTGTGTGTGTGTGTGTGTGTGTGTGTGTGTGTGTGTGTGAACTTCTTCTTGGCTAATTAGTAGTACAGCTGCAGTTGTACAGTACACTGTTAAACACTGTTGTCGCTGTTTGACAGGCTTCACAGAGGAGGGGGCAGAGTTGCCTTTTAAAGATGGCAGCCTGATATTTATTATTTAATATTTTACCATATGTTTTTCCTACTTAAAGTTGGTTGGATTCCTCCAATCTGTGTTTGTACACTGTGGTATTGCTACTTTAACTAGAGTGAATAATTGGAGTACTTCTTCCCACACTCCTATATTCTTACTTCAAATCACTTTGGAGTCCTAAAACTAAATCCCTGAGATGCATGTGAAATAGGATCTGTATCAGTCATGGTAACTTTGACTTGATATGAACTGAGATTTATCTTCCTGTAAACTGTATATTGTGGTGCCTGGCTTGAGGCTGTTGCTGCATAATTGTCACACTGTATGCTCTGACTGCTGCTGTGAGAGCTGCTAACAAGAACCACAGTCCCCACATAGACGCCGAGATGGTAGAGCAAACTGAACTATGTGATTCCGAGGAATTCTAATTCAATTTTGATTTTCCTCATTTTTTACATTGTACTGTCGGTTTCACTGAAACTGTCTTCATGGGAGCACCTAAATAAAAGAGAAACAAGCCAAAGAGTGTGAGTGTTAGCTCTTTAACAGGAATGCTTCCTGCTGTGTGAGAATGTGGGCAGGTGGTTTGACTCAGATGACAGGAATCTGACGCATGTATCTGCTGCAGTCACAGTCCAACTTGCACCTGCCTCTGCATCGCACCGACACATTCTGTCTCACCATTGACAATAAGACAAGCAATTCCAATGTTGAGGATGGCAGAATCACAAATATTATGTTGAGTACATCATTAACCTGCTTTCCTCTTTCTCATCATCCTCCATGATGCATGAGGTATTTCTAAAAGTTACATCACTCAGGTGCCCCAGTGTGGAGGTCAGGTTATGCTAGGTCACACTGCTCTGCTGGGCTCAGATTAATGGCCGCCAGCTTTTTAAAATGTCAGTCATGCTACTGTTCCATTTTCATGAGCACCGGTGCAATCCCCAGGAGCAGAAACAGCCAGCTCTACCATGCACAGCACGTTGCATTTGGACTTTTTTATTTCCCTTTCAGTGCTAAAATAAGACTTTGAACCTTTTTAAAGTCGGTGGTCTCAAGAGGAGCAGAATTCATTACACGGGTTATGTTGCTCCTTGTTTACTGGGGTTTCAAATGTTATGAAATGTCTTTAAATCTAATGAATCACCCTCTGATCTTCTTCTTCATCTCCATTCCTCTGATGTTTATGAGATGTTAAAGCTATTTTATTACTTTACATGCTACTGACATTAAACGCACACAAGTCGTGATGTTATGATGAGCAGATGTGCACATGCTGTCCTGCCTTACATTTATTCATTAAGGCATTAGAGACATGCACATTGAGTGGATTCCCTCCTTTCCAGCTCTTGGGTTACAGTAACAGGATTAACAGGACTTCAAAGACTTTCCAGTTTCTCACAGTGGAGCAATGTTGAGGTGCTGCTCTGTGTCTGTTTGACTTATGAGAGCCGCAAGGAAAAATGACCTCAAACAGTTGGTCGCAGTGTCATCGCGTGAAGACAAACCCAACTCCAGTCACTGTGCTTGCAAGTGCTACTCCCCTGAACTTTGCACATGACACATGGTCTGCGAGAACATGTGTGTTCATTTTCTTTACTGACATTTTTCCCACTTCCCACGTCTGACAGCTTTTGATACTCTTCAGATTAGTTCATTTATAGTAAAAGCCATGTATCTCCAAATGTAGTAAGGTGATTGTGTGTGAAGCAGTGTCTCTTTATGGGACAAACATGATAAACTTGATGACTATGATACATTGCTGTTGATTAAAGCAGCTAATAGTATATAAAGGTATTAACAAATCATGTACAGCAGTAAAATGCAGAATAAATATTCATGCAGCAGTAATATGTGCAAGGGCTAGTGGGGCAGGGTGGATCCATATTGCTGATAGTCCTTACCCCCTTTTACCGAAGTAAGCATCTGAATGCATGATTTCTACTTGTAGTGGAGTATTGTTACAGTGTTCTTACAATTATTTAAGTAAAAGGTCTGAATATTTCTTCCAGTGGTTTAATTGTAGGTGTGTTGTTAGTATATAACACACAGCGGTGAAATCTTTACAACAATTTACTTAAACTTTACCTCTGAATGGCAGCCAAGAGAGCACTTATCAGAAACACTATATTGCTCTTCAGGGATGTTTAGTGAATGATATCCTTTGAGTGCTGTCTATATCCATCATATCCAACGCATCACAAACCACAAAAGACTTAATTATGCCAGAATCAATGTAGGTGAAATTCAAAAAGAGCTCAGTGGTTATAATGACTATTATTATGTCTTAAAACCACATTTATGTTTGGCCTCTCCTCCTGTTAACAGGTGTTCTGCAAGACATCCAGCGGCATTACGGAGTATCAGACAGTGGAATCGGCTTGTTGCAAACAGGTAAATCTCCTTTAATCCCATAATTGCCAGTGTGAACAATCCAGCTCAACACATTCTCAGTGTGATGGGTGTAATTATTGTGTAACTCTTGTATTTTGGTGTTTGTTAAATTGGTTGGAGCTACGAGGCTCTGATGATAGTTGCCAATCAACAGAAAAATGCTGTTTGCACACACAAAAAGAAAAAGCTTTTACTTTGGAAGAGATATTGACAACATAATTCAAAGTGGAAATGCTAAACACTATATTTGAACACATCTAATACCTCATATTGTTCTCCTTTATATACATTACGAAAGTGGCGAACCGTGTCTATCACAACTGGACCTTCTGTAGAGACACACACACCCTCCGCTGCGGATTGTTTGCTTTTTTTTTCTAACACAAAACCACTGAAATGCATAGTGCATGGACCGAGAAGGACAAACAAATCAACGTAACACTGTAATATTACAGATCAAGAACACAGATACCATTCTCATTTATTCATTTACATACATTTTATTTATATAATTAAATCTTTTTTTTTTTTTTTTTATCTGAGTGTTCCAGGGTATTCTCTGAATACCTTGAAGGCCCTGACAGTTCACCACTGCATTACAATAATATACATAGAAAGACCTGGCCAAGAATAGCAGCAACATAGAATTTCAACAATAAACATAAATTCTGAGAGTTTGTGTAACATTAAAGAAGATTAGATAAAACAAAAAACACAGCCAGGGTAAGGCCTAAGATCAGTTGATACATTTTTCCATGGAGTACATGCAGAAAACTTCCCAATAATGTAAGGGAAAAAGAAAAGGCAAAAGTTCAATAGACTTAAATAGAAGCCAATTGAAGTTATTTTCAGAAAACACTGATGAGAATTGGCTTAAAACTGTTTATTTAATCATCTACAAGAATAAAAAAAGGAGGAATTACGATCGATTGACTGATTTGGATTTTAGGATTTTAAAAAAAACATATCTATATTTCGCAATCATTACAAACGTCAAGATAAAAAGACAATGTTATCCAAACGCTCTCTTTCATTGTGTGTGTGTAACTACATGATTCCATCGGAGCACTATCTAAAAGTCACACCACCAGCAATATTGAGGTATTTATTAAGGGAGGGCATTTCCAAAGAGCAGCAGCAGCAGCAGCAGGTCAGAGGAAGGAAAACACCATCAGTAGCCAGGCATGCTTTTTCTCCTGAGGGCCTGCATGCATGTACCAGGAGCGTCTGAGGACTCAGGGCAGGGTTTCCTGTTCTATTCAACACACCCCCATAAATTCACCTTTTAGGTAGATACCTTGCAGAACCCCCTCTTTGGGGGACAGGACCCAGTCTCATTCGAACACCAACAAACCTGCACACAAAGTGCCATTGAGGCCAAGCATGCAGGTTAGAGTTTGAGGGGGGAGAGAATACAGCCCAGTGTTTTCCTCCTTCTCTTGATGTTCTCAGACTAACTTTAGGTGAGCTGAATGGAGCGGTGAGGACAGAAATATCCAGCAGCGAAAAAGAAACCAGTGTTCTGTTGGCTTTATGGTGAATAAGCCATTTCATCAACGCCAAAACTCATTTCTGCCCAGTTTCCCCGTGGCATAAATAATATATATTTCCTTTTCAGAATCTCTTTTTCCTTTACATCTCCTTTTTATGTGTTTGCGAAATGTGTTATTGCAGTAGGGTTAAATTGTTAGTATGGTGTTTCAAAGCAACTTTTTCAGATGATGCCTGCACAGAATGCTAAAGGCCCTCGTGTAGAATCAAATACGTCTGATTTGTTTATTTTCATAAGCAGGGAAAACACATATACATGCACTGGAAGATTTGTTTTTGAAAAAAAGAAAAGGAAACAGTGAAGGGTGTTTGACTCTTAATTGTGTTTGCATTGGCTCTTTAATTTGAGTTACCACACTGGAACACACACACACACACACACACACACACACACACACACACACACACACACACACACACACACACACACACACACACACACACACACACACACACACACACACACACACACACACACACACACACACACACACAGTAAGTCAGTAGAGGGGCATGTGCAGCTGATTTGCCCTCTGCACCGTCTGCATTTACACCGAAAGACAACAGTGCTGCTGTGTGTTTGGTTTCCCTGGCCTTTCCCGGCCTGTCATGGTTCAGCCTCCGCTTGGCCCCTGATCCCCGGGCGACCTTTTTTCTCACACTGGCCTGAGGAATGCTGGGTGTCCGGGCGTTGGGATGTGAGATTGGGTCGGCCCAGACAGAGAGCCTAGATGTGAAGAAGAGGCTAGGAAGATGACGTAATCTCGGACTCTCAGTTTGTGCGTGTATATGTTTACAGTATGCATGCATACGTCTCTTCCGGTTTCCCCCACCCCCTTCTTCCGCCCCAGAGGGAACAATCCCTGCCTGTGTGAGCACCTGCAGGCCTGGCCGGTTCTGCCTTCTGTCCTTCCTCGCTCCCTCCGTCCTGGCAGCTTACGTCCACCTGGGAAAGTAAACTGCCAACGTAGGTGTTTTACAGCCGGTGGGTGTTTCTCTGTGTGTCTGCTGCCAAGTCACCCTCACACTTTTTAAAAAGCACTCACCACACACTGCAGGATCCAAACACAAGTCTGAGTCAGAATCACTTTATGAACTCTGCTCGTGTTTCAGCTTGAGGAAAGGATAGTTTTGACCCTTTTCTTTAGCTCTTGATCAGAACTACTGAAATGAGAAATGTCCCATATCTAGAAGGTACTGACAAGTTGTTTGCTTTTAGAAATACTGTCCTGCAGGCAGCACCAGGGTTCTTAGGCCTGCTGCAGTGTTTGCACTCTGTATATTTATGACTCATAAGATATACATTTCTTGGAACAAGCACAAAGTCAGTCAGTGGCATCTCTATCACGAGGGACTTATTTTTGATTAAATCATATTTATAGATATGGATAAGCTGATAGAAATGAGAATAGTCTTTGAGTATAAGACCTCATTGTCAAACATTTCAACTGTAGCAAGTATTGGAATGGGGTCGAGGAGGCCTCCCAGCGTTTCCACCTGAGATGACAGCTGACGGTTGGAGAGAGTAGAACCGATTTAAAGTTTGACAGCAGTAAGGTGATTGGCCTTTAAAGATCGTGGGAAATTGTAGTTGGTCAACTCAAAAAGTACACGTCTATAATCAGCTTATAGAGGCAGCTAGAGGAGATCCCGAATCAGAAAATGTACATGAACGCCCCTCAAGATGACAATTAGGTAACTAGGAATGTGATATCTCAACGCTCTGAACTATAAAATACATCTTCTTTGTAGCATCCATGTTGTTTCCATACAAGTCAAAATAATAACTTACAAACTCTGAAATGGAGGAGCAAGTGAATGCACCAATGTCCTTGGGCGAATCTTTCCGAGAGTAGTTCTAGTTTTAGTAGCATTTGTTATAATCCGGTAAATAAATGTTTCCTCTCCCTAGCTTGGTTTAAGTTATTGGAACTAATTTAATCAAAAGAAAAAGTAGAACCATTCCTCCACCATTGGCAGGAAAATACAAAAAACAAGTCCTGATGAATGCTTTTTGCGGTACAGTGGGTGTAAACTGGTGTTTAAAGGCTAAAGAACAACACATGGAAAATACCCTGTGGTGAGCTCGGCCTCCACAGCACCCACCAGTTATCTGTTATTTTGCAACGGACTCTTCCTAAAGCGGCTTACACAACACATATTGACACGAGGAATGTGCTCATTGTGCATAAGGTGTGCATGTGTGTCATTATTGCCCGAGGAGGTGAGGTCTCAGCTCTCCGAGTGAGAGGATAAGGTGTTCGGAGCTGTCACTCAGGTTAGGGGTAAAGGCAGTTTGAGCTGTTTGAGCGCGTCCATCAGCATGGGGAGAGGGTCTCACCTGGAGCTCAGCAGACCTGTCAGAGCACCGGGACAGCCTGAGCCCAGCACCCCCTCCGGAGATGACAGGTCTTCCTGCTAATGGCCTTCCTGCTAATGGCCTTCAGGCAGCGGCTAAGTGAGTGACGCTCACACGCAGCTGTGAACTGGTCCAGTCCCCAGGGTACGGAGGGCAGCAAAGGTTAATGGAGGAGAAGAAGAGGAGAGGGGGTTCACCTGGTTAGTGTTACCTTTGGTTTAGTTTTGAATACTTTTGTTAACAAGACGGAAGAATCTGAGAGAAGGCTTTCTCCTCCTGTTATTCAAGTGCTTTGAGGCAAATCAGAAAAAAAAGTTCATAATGGGTTGAATTATTCCTTACAATGGCGGAGTAATTATCTGTCACTCGTTCAGCATGGCAGCAGTTATTGGGGTCAGTCGGGCTGGATGTACAGTGGGGCGGTGGCTTAATAAGGAGCCGGCGCTCAAAACAGCTCGCAGACTGTCTGTGCCCTGTTCTGTGTGTAGCTGCCCACCTTGTCTGAAACATGATACACGCACGCACGCACACGCACACACACACACACACACACACACACACACACACACACACACACACACACACACACACACACACACACACACACACACACACACACACAC